GATATTCCAAGTGAATTTGTTAATATTGACGGATATGATATAGTTCGCATGGATAGGGACAAACACGGTGGCGGTGTCTGTTTTTACATTAGGCGGACGATATCATATTTAAATCGTGGTGATTTAGTGCCGGAAAATTTAGAGACAGTATGTCTGGAAATTAACCGGCCCAACTCTCGTTCCTTTATCGTTTCTACTATTTATCGTCCGCCGTCAGCAACCGTCGAATCTTTCTCACAAATTGAATCTTTGCTTAAGAATGTCGATAACGAGAACAAGGAAATTTACTTATTAGGAGATCTAAACTGTAATCTGTTAGACCAGTCCCAGGGGCGGATCCAGCCAAAAATCTGACCGTAGCATTTTCCAAGACCTCGCATAGCTAGGGGGGTCCGGGGGCATGGTCCGGGGGCATGCCCCCCGGAACATTTTTGAAATTTGAAGCCCGGAAATGCCATTTCCTGCGTTCTGAGCACTGCATGTGACCATTAAATTTGTCCTCATTGTATTCATTTCTCAAGCAAAAATAAGCCGAAATGATCTCAAAATGTAAACTATTGCTCGCGTATATTTTAACATACGATATCGGTATGATACTCGTATAATACGCATATCATTATCAATTGAATACCGAAATGCGCGTATCATCTACGAACGCGTGTATCATACGAATACGCATATCATATGAACGCGCGTATGATATGAATACGCGTATCTTGCGAATATATACGCATTACAAACAAATATTAGCGCGCTATAAAACACGATATATATACGCGCATATCATAATTCGCGTATTAATTCCAATACATGCAGATATACTGTACATACGCGCACAAACACTTTAATAAAGCGAAGTTAATAGCGAACACTATACAGTAAAACTCAAATTAAAATATAATGTGCATCTCTTATCATTCATAAGGCTTACCTGACTGGAAATGATTCGTTTTACTATCTGATTTTATTTCTACCTTGACGCATATAAATCCTTTAGCTTTACGACGGCTTTCATTTCGAAATGCGCACAACCGTACTGTGGGTTCCCAATAGCATGTTGTTGATGAGCCAAACACAAATATCAGATATTCCATCGTTCTGGAGCAGTAGCCAATTTCATGCCACCGTAGCAAACTATAGCATTTGCCCCATTCCGATTGGTTTGCTACGTTTGACCGTAGCAAACCAATCAGAATGCCGTATATGCCAATTTTCGCCACGGTCAGATTCGACCTTAATGAATCTGACCGTAGCGAAAATTGATCATATATGGGCAACACGCTACGGTGTATTTCTGAAGGATGATATTTTCTAAGCTATAGTCCATTGCGTAATGACCCGCAAACGGGCAATTACAACCGTATTAACGTTACGTATTATAAATGTCATCAATTTGTCAAAATAAAATGTTTTAGAACATATAAAACTAAATAGAATAAAACATTTAAATATAAACAAGGAAAGTAAACAAAATATTGCTAAATTATATTTTAGATTGATTTTATGATCCATGTTAGAACTGGCCTATGGAAAATCTGACCGTAGCATATGCTACAGTTGCAACGGTCTAAATCCGCCCCTGAGTCCAACTCTTCTGCTAAACACTTACATTCTATCATGCAACTTTATCAACTTACACAAGTAATCGATAAGCCTACAAGGATTACGGAATCGTCTTCTACGTTACTAGACGTTTGTATTACCTCCTGTCCTGAGCGAATTGCATTTCATGATGTAATTCATATGGGAGGGAGTGATCATAGTTTAATTTATGTAGTAAGAAAAATTAATTCATATCTTAAACCTCACGCTAGCAAAAAAGTCGAATTTCGAAGCTTCAAGCATTTCAATGTTGAGAATTTCAAAGTCGACCTTATAAACTTACCATGGTATTTAGTTGACAGAGAAACTGATATTGATAATAAATGGGAATGTTGGAAAAATCTTTTTATTACTGTTCTTGATAAACATGCCCCGGTTAGGGAAAGACGGGTACGAAATAAAATATCTGTGGCATGGATTTCTAGGAATATCAGAAACAAAATGTTTGAAAGGAACCGTTTGAAAAGAAAAGCAATTTTGTCGGATTTAAGTGAAGATTGGAGCCAGTATAAACATTATAGGAATAATGTCAACATTGCAATGCGTGAAGCTAAGAAAGTTTACTACAAAAGCAAATTTGACAAACATCAAAACAATCCAAAACAGGCTTGGAGGACGATTAATGATATCCTTGGGAGAAAAAAAGAAGGACACAATGATTAACGAATTAAAGCTAGGAAATGATACAATTACTTCTCCTATGAGAATGGCTAATTGTCTTAATGACTATTTTACAAGTATTGGTGGTAAAATTGGAGACTCCTGCTCTGAACACACTCAAAATTTAAATTTTGGCAGGCATATGAGTGATAATCTAAATACTAGTTTGGAATTTACTTTGCATCCTGTTAACGAATCACAGGTTTTTAGGCTACTTAACAATTTGTCTATTTCTAAATCTACTGGATGTGACAAAATACCGGCTAAAATTCTAAAAAAATCTGCTTCTGTAATTACACCATCTTTGACCAATTTGTTTAACTCTGCTATTGGGATGGGAATTTTCCCCTCTGAATGGAAAAGTGCTAGAGTTATACCGCTTCATAAGAAGGGTTCACGCTCCGTTTTAGACAATTATAGGCCAATATCAATTTTGCCGGTCATCAGCAAAATATTTGAAAAGATCTTGTATGAACAGTTATACGAATATTTTACTACCAATAATTTATTGTCTGAACAGCAGTTTGGGTTCAGGCGTTTTCATTCCACGTCCACTGCTTTGCTTGATTGTACTGATGAGTGGTATGTTAATATGGATCGTGGTTTGTATAATCTTGCCGTTTTTCTCGATTTAAAAAAAGCATTTGACACTGTAAACCACGACATTTTACTGGCTAAACTAGAGTTATATGGTATTAAGAACACGCCTCTTATGCTTCTCAAATCGTACTTATCAGATCGATCTCAGAAATGTCAAGTAAATGGGGAACTTTCCACACTAAAATATCTAAAATATGGCGTTCCTCAGGGTTCAATTTTGGGTCCACTTCTGTTTTTAATTTATATCAATGATTTGCCGAATTGTTTACAACACTCTACAGCACGCATGTTCGCCGACGATACTAACATTACAGTGTCCGGTAAATCAATTAAGGAAGCGGAGGTGGCCGTTAATGTCGATCTCAATAATATCAGAGAATGGCTTCTATCGAACAGGCTCTCTCTTAACCTTGTCAAAACGGAATATCTTTTGATTGGGTCGCGCCACAATATTAACACGTTAGAAGAACAACCGCGTGTTTTTATTGGAGATGAACCAATTAAAGGGGTTCAAGTTACAAAAACTCTTGGAGTCAAAATTGATCAATTTTTAACTTGGGACAGTCATATTGAACAAATTTCTAAAAAAATATCTTCTGGAATAAGTGCCATGAAAAAGATAAAGGATTTCACTAATTCTGATACTTTGAAGTCGGTCTATTATGGTCTTGTCCAACCCCATTTCGACTACTGTTTTGAAGTTTGGAATTCCATTAGTAGAGGCCAGTCTGAACGACTACAAAAACTTCACAACAGATGTGCTAGAATTATAATGAACTTTAAAGATGAGCCTGGGCAATCTCAACTGGCCCTCGATCAATTAGGGTGGATAAGCTTGGAAGAAAGGCGAAAACATAATATGGCCCGTCTCATGTTTAAGGTTGTCAATAATCTGGCACCATCGAGGTTCTCATCAATGTTCCAGAATTCTAACCATATCCACAGTTATAATTTACGAGGTTCAAATTCGTCTCTCTTTCTGCCACGACCAAATACTGAGTATGGCAGAAAATGTTTTCGATATAGTGGGGTTAAAATCTGGAATAGCATTCCTGAACAAGTAAGAAACAGCGAATCTTTAAATTCTTTCAATAGAAATATTTCCTCTGTTAGTCTGACGAATTAGCTATTTGAGTTTTGTATACCATTTGTTTTGTAATATGTATTTGTATTCGCAGTTCTTAATTTTCTTAGTGATTTTGTATTTTATATATTTTTGTAACATTTATCTACGCCCCACTTGGAAAGCAGCTATGGTTGAAGTGGCCAGCGTAGTCAAATAAAGTTTTATCCTATCCTATCCTTCCGCCTAAAACGACGTCATACTCACAACCGCGCACGTGCACAACCGTACACGTGCACAACTGTGCACGTGATTGCCACGTGCATGACGTCACTTCCGATCCCATATGGGGGGGGGGGGTAATACTACTCACGATAATTACGAGCCGAAGTATCACGTTAATTACGAGCCGACGTATCACGTTAATTACGAGCCGAAGTCAACCGCGCACGTGCACAACCGTACACGTGCACAACTGTGCACGTGATTGCCACGTGCATGACGTCACTTCCGATCCCATATGGGGGGGGGGGGTAATACTACTCACGATAATTACGAGCCGAAGTATCACGTTAATTACGAGCCGACGTGTATCACGTTAATTACGACCCGAAGTATCACGTTAATTACGAAATATTTTGAATTACGATGTAAAGACGTACGTTACGGGCAATGAAACTTTACGACTGAATTTGATTTACGGCCCAATCAACTTCCCACACGATCAAGAGTTATTTTTGATAGTGATAACCCCTCATACTAGAACGCCGTATGTTAACGTTTAGGCTAGATTTCGGCTAAACTCAACGCTATATAAATGAATAGGTGGCTTACCAACCGGTATCGAACAAACGACGGGGGAGGGTGCCGGCGGCCCCCAGACCATTATGCCTGGCACCCTTTTCGCAAGATCCTATGATCGGTAACTACCACACACAAGTAATAGTAACAGTTCGGTATATAAGTACGTTATAGTTGTCTGGCGTGGTGCATGTGGGACGCTTCAGCTCGATGTTTACCAAACTTTTGAAACAAACGCATGCGCGACAACTTGATACTCGGGTAAACGTAGCGCATGCGTGGACATCGTCCAATCAGGACGCAGGAAAATTTCCCACTGGTCCCGCGAGTTCGAGACACGTGCGAGACGGCTCAGAAATTTCAAGTTGTATTCAAAACAAATTCATATTTATAATTGCGCCTTGTTTTCACAGTAATAGTGAAAATATTTAAGTAAATATATATTATTCACATGTATTTGCTTGTCGAAGGTTGATAAATGGACTGGAAAAGATGAAGGCGAAGTGAAATCTATTGGTTTCTAGTACTGATACGAAAGGTACAAAGCTTTATATTTTGTACTGTTTTGTTTCCTTTTTTGACGATAGTTGATGAGAAAATATTCTTGTCTATAGCTTGCTTCAATCGTCAAAGGAGGAAAGTTCTTAGTTTGGCTTCATTTAGTATTTGTATTTATGAATCCTATATTTAATAATTACTAACTTCCTTATAAACCTGGATATAAAGTTTCTAAAATCTTGCACAGAGTGTATATTCTTGCATACAGAATATACCCTTCTTGAAAGTATCTTACTTTGGCTATAAAGCCTAACCTCAATCATGAAAAGGATGGCCAAGGTGATGTCACTACTTTCCGGAACCGTATATATATTGTCTTGAATTGTATGATTCAGCTTTATAGTAGGATATGATGGAATGTTGGATAGTATAAATAAAATAAAGAGCCTATCACAAAACCAGGCCAGTTTCTAACTTTATTTATGTTTTAATATTACATTTTTTCATCAATTAATTAAACTTAATTGTCCTGGCAATAGCATGGTCATATTCATTAATAGAATATGTTGTTGTAAAATATTCTAATTTGTGTTATTATTATCAATTATGGTTTTAATTGGCACATCTTCATTGCTCAGACAATCTACATCACTGTCTTCGTCAACACTGCTGTCATCACCACTGATCTCGTCATCATCACTGGAGTCTGAATGAATAACCAGTGATTGAATGTGGTTTGGATTGACAAACAGATCATCATCTGTTTCACTTTCGCTGTCAGAGCTCAACTTTTGATTGCATTTGCTTCTATGTCTTTCTTTCATTGTGTTGCCATACACTACTGGTTCAGGATGACCATTTTCATCAAATGCTTTCTCCAGAAACTTTTCAGGCCTAGAAATTATCACAAAATAAGATGAGAATAAAATTATTTCAAGAGCAATCTTTTTCGGGAAGGGCTGTGCCAAACTGACATGGTATGTGGTATGTTAAGGTGCAAGTAATTCAAACACAAACCATGACATGTAGAGTGACCCTTTCATATTCAGTCCGATGTCTTGCATCATTGCTTGTCAGCAAACTTAAAGACTGAGCTTAATTAGCCTTTCTCACGCCGCCATTTTTTGGGTACTTTTTTGCCAATCCTGCGAGTGTAACACCACGTACCGGTGACATTTCATAATTTTGTGGGTGTATGATGGTAAATTTACTCTGTAAATAGTTAGTTTGTTCTTAAATATTGCTTTTCACATTGTTATAATCGTTTACAAAAAATTACAGTACCCCAAAAATGGCGGTGTGAGAAAGGCTAATTATAACAATATTATTTTGTACATAGCTTACCACAATCCTTCTTTCTTGAGATATTTCACTTGCTGGGGGTACAATATATGAGCTATTTCTGCACGCACTTTAGTTCCTTCCTCAATTGGATCAACAATTACAAAATCTCCTGAAAAGTTTTGAAATTTATTAAAATAAAATACCATAGACAGCCTTTTAAATTAGTGTCGCTACATGCAGTGCAATTTTATATCAATAGAGAGCTCAAGCAAGCGACGTTTTTGATAACACGGATGCCAACTAGAAGTCAATTGAGCCGTAGCAGATGCCTATTGAGTGATCAGCAGTTCTTATTTGAAATCAATGGCAGTCAGTGTAGTTTCACATGATTTGTAATTTAACAGATTGCAATAAAACACAACGTGTACCAACGTGCAATGCATAATTGTTAAAGTGTGTATTTTCTCAACAATCAGTCAATCACTAATAACGACTCGATTGCCTTACGACTTCCTTTTGCTCATCAATAGCGGACCCTTGCATACTAATCGGTTAAAAACTCAAAACAAATTAATAGGGTGGTTATCTCGTAGGCAATACCTCGTTTTATCCAGACATTTTTTCGAAATTTTGAAGGCATGCTTATGAGGAAATGATCGCCACTCGGAGTCTCTGCCTCATGCAGGTTATTGCCTCTACTTCCAGTAATCTATGGATAAAATAAAATAGGGATATTTAAGGTTAGTTGTGGGTATTTGGCGATGATATTATGGATATGTAAGGATTAAGGTAGGGTCATTTATGGATAATTGGAAACAAAATTGTTGATTTAAAAATCTATTATTGCACCATATTTTTTTAATAAAATCGTAAGAAAGACATGTTTTACCTTAACAATAATTTGTTTCTCTTCTGGTGTCACAAATTCGTCAAGGACTTCACGAGTGACATGCTTTCTCTTTGTGGCTTTAGACATTTTGTGTCACTTGATTAAAATTTCTGTGACGAAATCGCTAAGTGTATTCTCGCGCTTTATACGATACGCCAGGACGGGAAAAGACACGCGATCTGTGAATTTCTAGTTAGCCATGATTGCGTTGTACATGTACAGTTAGTAATAGACTCCAGAATACGATGTTTTGTACAAGAAATTGAATGAATTTGAATTAGAAATATTTTTCAATGCGTCGGCCATTTTTGTCTGTTGGAAAGGGATTTTTAGGGTAACTAAGGGATGTATTTTTACGTTTGTTGAGAGTATCCTACTAAATCCACCGATTCCATGTACTTTCCTTTGTTTCACAAGTTTATCCATGATTATCCATAGCTGCTTAGAGATGTGACGTCATCTATTGATTGGGATCGATTGATCTCATTGCGGTGGGATTAGCTCGGTGATTGGGACCAATGGTTGCGACTGATTGGGACAAACGATCAACCAACCCCAATCTCGTCCCCCGAGCCTGCGATCCTCGGGAAGGAACGCGAGGCTCTGGGATAATCCGTTGCCGGAAGCCAGGACCTGGCTAAGATTGAACTACGCATTCCATTCCAACGGCCAATCAGATTCCTCCCTGAAACGGATTATCCCAGAGCCTCGCGTTCCTTCTCAAGGATCGCAGGCTCGGGGAACGAGATTGAACCAACCCATGTCAAAACATCATTACAGGAAAGGTGGGTCACAATTATGGGTGGTCATAATATAATATTGTTTTTCAAAGATATCGAATTTGACGTCGTGTTGACTAAGTAACTGTCAAAAACGTGCTAAACTGTAAATTTTGATTACCTAACATTACTAATTAGCATTACAAGAGCCATTTCATCTTTATACCGTTGACGTTGGAATTTATCAACACGTGACAATACAGTTTATCTGATATCTAAACAATATGAAAGTCAAGGTCGACAGTTTGGCCATGGCCGTAATGTTTAATGTCGGATAGGTACGTCACAGGTTTTCAAGGTGACGAAGTGAATAAAAAGTGTAATCATGAATGGAGCTCTCTTAATCTTGTCTGAAACACTGCCAAACAACAAACTGAAATTTATGCAACTCGATGGACACACTAAAAGAGAAAGCTCAAAGGACAAAGAAAGTCTGCTGAGGCAAGGCTTTCGGGAGCTAGTAAACTACCACCAATCAGTGATTTTACCATTTAAAATGGTGTTTTTGCCATGTGCACAATAGTATTTAGGAATCTCGATTGTGTTTTGACTATTTTTTTCATAAAATGCAAATCTTCTTTATATTGATTGCATTCCATATTATTGATTGCAGACTCCGAGTTCGAGATTGAAGTGTTTACTTCGTAATATCAATTTTCTGCCATCTTTTCATGAGCCAGGTTATGTTGACATGTTCGGCTAGCTAAATAGCTTACGCTTACTAAAGCTACGAAAATGGCTTAATTGCGGCTCCGAAAACGAAAAATACATTAAATCCTATTCCGTGGTTTTATTCTGTATATTTATGCAGTGGTGTGGTTTTTCCAACGTTCCCTGTAAAGCCCTGGGAACGAGGTAGGGTTTTCCCTGCAATGAGAAAATATCAATATTAAAATGAGAGAAAAAAACACTGGCGTATGTCAAGGTCACGGCAGCATACGTGCCCCCGCGCGCGTTTTCTCTCCGAAACTTGTCTCAACTTCACCCAATATTTCCAACAAAGTATTTTTTATTCATCCTGCGGAAATTATTTGACACGTTCAATGAACCTGGAGTATGGGACACTCATGGCGCTCCTTATCAGTCGACGGAAAATTGTTTCATAAATTGTTTCCTGTGCGTGTGTGCCTTGGAAGACCTTTGAAGAAACACGCTAATTTTCTCACGATTTTTTTCGGAAATTTGTGCACGTGTATTTAAATTGCTTCCCACGCCGCGGACTTCACTGATGAAATATATTCAATGAAGGGTAAATTACTTTATTTGCATGAACATTATTCTCTTTTTATTAAATTGACTTTCCAGTTTACATGCTTACTCATTTAATTCATCATTGTCACAGAATCACAGTTCCCACAAAGTTTACAAACCGATTTAGAAACCAAGCTTTTCATATTTTTCCTTCAAAATCTTTCATGACAACCGATGTCAGTTCACGTGTCGAGCGCATGGGCACTTCATGGACATTTCATGGACGTTAATGAAACCGTAATATAGGCTCTCGTCTGCCGTAAAATAACACACTTAAAACCGCCTCACGCCTGTTCTTTTACTGAACTGCTGTCTTTTAAAGAGAAAAACAATTCAAACCAATATACACTCCAAAAGTACGTGTTTTTGTATAACATGTTCATGTTACATCATAAATGAAAAAAAATACTGACAGTCATAAAACAAATATTTAACTTCATTCAGCTCGCTTGCTCAATATATTCTGCGAGTGTTCATCGTCATATAAAAATAGATGCCTATCAATTCCTATTCAATACTTCATCTGTCAAACTGTTGTCATTTACTCATTTGCATACAATCAGTTCGGCTCGGTCAAAAAAGGGAATTACGTAAATAGATTAACCACAAGTCTGACAAGCTCAGGTACCGGTAAAGTAAAACCAAATTTGGAAAGTTAAGGCCTTTTAATACGTGCAAGGATAAGTCAAAATTACTCGAAATTAAGACCCAGAGTTCTGCTGAAATTAAATTTCAAATTTTCGATATATTGACCGCTTGCTACGTCTATATAGGCTTTGCAAATGTAATATGGGAGGTTCCAAATATGCGCTGTGTGCATGTTTTGTTCACGTGCGCATCAGCTGTTTTCATGTCTATTTCCGGTATTGAAAAAATTTATTGGGAGCTTCCCTGAGCGCAAAGCAAAAAATTATTTTGGTGTTGAATATCATTCGCGTCACTTCTCCCGTATTTGTACAAGGCACGAGCGAGCGATGGTTGATTTCGATGGCTCAATTGATAGTGAAGTAAGATCTTCACACTCAATGGAAAGTTTAGAACAGGATGAATATCTGGAAAGCGTTGTCTCGACTAGCGAAAGGTTAGGTACGAAAATGCTGCATCAGCTGAATGAATTTCGCCAAGATGAAACACTTTGCGACGCGAAATTGCGATTAGAAGGAAAAGAATTCGATGTCCATAAAGTAGTCTTGTCATCGAGCTGTCCGTATTTTCGAACGCTGTTCACTGCCAACATGAAAGAAAGAAAGCAAAGTGTTATCGATCTAAAATGTCCCGTCGATTTAGTGCATCGTATGGATGATTTTCTCACCTTTTTGTACACAACTAAAGTACAATTGACACAGGAAAACGTTGAAGCTTTGATCGTCGCCGCGGATTATTTCAATGTCACAGAACTGAAGGAGCTGGGGTGTAGATTTTTGCAACAAAATGTAAACTTATCGAACGGGATTGCATTACATGGCTTTGCTGGGCGATATCATTGCGAACCCTTGCGTGAACTGACTCGGGATTTTTTAGTTGAAAATTTTACTGCAATATCTCAAACTGAGGATTATTTATTAACTGACCCTGAGCAATTATTAGAAATAGTTTCAAGTGACGAGTTAGTTTTGTTCGCGGAAGAGGAACTTTATGAAGGCATCTTAAGATGGGTGAAACATGATTTAACAAATCGAGTAGGATTTTTCCCTAAGCTCTTTGGCAAGGTTCGGCTTCAAGATGTTAGTAGGACCTACCTTGCCGAGACGATTGCCAACGAAAAGCTAGTTACCGATGATCCGATTTGTTCAGATCTATTAATGCGGATGATACTGGAGTGCTATGTTACCGAAGATGCCACGAAGGTGATTCCATCTCGGTTTTACGATTGTGTGTTTGTGAACGGTGGACGAGAACCGTCAGGAGCGACTGCTTCCTCATATCTCTTCGTTCCTTCTCAGAATGCCTGGTTCAAGATTCCATCAATGAGCACGGTTCGGTACAGCCATGGCGTGGCCACAATTGGAGATGATGTCTTTGTCCTTGGCGGGTATTCCAAGAATGGATTCACAGCCGAGGTTGAGAAGTTTGATGTGAAAGCAAGGAAATGGTCCACTAGCCAACCTTTACCCACTCCGATGAAGGGAATGGCTGTTGCTGCAGTTGGTAACTCGCTTTACGTCGCTGGAGGAATTGTTGAGAATGGTATCCGCCTTGGTATCCTGAAACGGTACGACCCTGCGACCCAAAGATGGGAAGTGAAAACGCCTTTGCATGTTTCGCGAAGTGGTGCAAGTCTGGTCACCGTTGGTGATTTCCTGTACGCGATTGGTGGAAAGGCAAGTGACAACCAGATGCTGTCCTCGATGGAGCGTTATTCCATCACAGCCGACACTTGGGAAAGAATGAGTGAGATGTCTCACAAGAGAGCTTACGCCGTCGCGGCATCGGTTGGTAGTGGCAACATCCTTGTGGTTGGCGGTATCAACGAAGTTGGTGAAGTTGACACCATTGATCATGTGGTTGTCATTCGGACGTACCTGCGAAGTTGCGAGATGTACAACTCCACGGCAGGCGTCTGGTTCCCTGTTGCCGATCTTAGTGTCCCACGAGCCTTTGCAGGTATAACTGTTCATGGTGAGAAGGTGTACGTGTTTGGTGGTGAGGGTACAGGTACGAGATACCATAACAGCGTGGAATGTTATGATTGTACGACAAACAAGTGGGATGTCATCTCGCACATGCCAGAGCCAAAGAAATTCTTGCAATGTTGCAAGCTCATGTTGCCACAAGGGTTATTCCGAAGCCTTCCTAGTGTGAGTGCAACTAGTTGACTGTCTGAGGAAGTACTGTAACACTTCATCCAAGTCTTGGGTTTGAAGTAAGAGAATATAAAGAAATAGTAAAATATGACTGTAAGAGGAATCTGGCATCTCTATAGCTTTCATTGTTGCAGAAATGGCTTATTCTTATTTTAAAATGCCTGGAGTTTCATTTAATACAAGTAATTGCAATTATTATAAAATTGATATAGTTAGGAATTAATTTTTTTATCTAAGCATCTAACTTTGTAGGAATGTAGTATGCATTAGATAGATTTGAAGGTTTAAGAAACCAAATGGACTTGTGTTGAGTTACTGCTAGAATATTACTTGGGTTTTAATTAAGGCCAGGTTTTCGAAGCTGAATAATGACATTACTTTATATAAGCGAAGTACTAAGTCAGCTTTCATAAAGTGGGATGAAAATATATTTTGGGTGTAGCATGCAAAGCTGTAAGTAGAAATACATATTCTGCTTCTACATAAAAATGAAGCATTTTTAAATGATTTGTTGGTTTTATTTAACTCTTCTGTAACAATGTGAATGATCTGGAGTGTAAGGACATAAATTTTGAAAGATTTGTTGATAAGACAAATATGAAAAAGCTTGCACTCATGTTACCTAAGAGTTAATTATTACCCCCAACATATTAATTTATGTTAATATTAATAAAAAATGTATTGTGTAATTTAGAATAGGTATTTGAGAAAGTTTGTGGTCAGTTTCATTAGCACACTGCATGAGTATAATCACTTCCCAAGTTTGCTTGACCTTGACCTTGTACAATTATCTCATATGCACTCAAGCAAATTTGGGAAGTAGTTACTCAGGCAGGTTGAGAAACTGACAAGATTAAATTTGACTTTGTATAGTGTGTAGTTATAAATTATAGAAGTACTCCAGTCTGTATTATATTGTAGTTAAAAACATTGTAGTTAAAAACATTTAATTAAAACTGAAGGACTGTATAGACAAACATTAGGGGGGTTAAATTAGGAAAACGTTGTATAAAATGTAGTTATGTACTTATGTTAATTAAAATATGCATAGTGGGTGAAAACCAAGTTTGTTGCATTTCAAACAAGTTGTATTTTATTTGTACTGCAATATGTACATGAGTCACTATATGTTGATGATTTATCACCTAAAACATGCAGTTTATTGTCCATCTACAGTAGGGTCTGTATTTGAAGCTATCAGTGTTGCTAACATATTCTTCGGGACTTCTGAGCCTCGGATATGAATTGTATAGCAAGTGTTTTCTACTTTCTTTAAACTGTTTTTCAAGACCTCCAGTTTCTTAGGAAAACCTCGCTGCTGATTTCCAAACATGATGAACTCGTCGTGGATTTTACGCAAAATTTTGCAAATTTCCAGGGGGGTTGTGAGATTTCCTTGTCCAACGCTGTTTATAGCTAGCCTCATTAGTTCACCAGTGAGATCTGATATACCTAGGATGTACTCAGCAGGGGGGATGGGGACCTGGATATTAGCAGGGGGGTTAGGGACATGGGTGTTCTCTGTAGGGGGGTTTGGGATCTGAATGTTTTCATCAGGGGGGTTGTAGACCTGAATGTTTTCATCAGGGGGGTTGTGGACCTGAATGTTCTCATCAGGGGGGTTGTGGACATGTGGTTTAACTTGCTCTATTTTGGTACTTTCTGATGCATTCCCAAACACAAGTTCCCTACAGATCTGTTCAAATGAAACTAAAGTTCCATGTTTTAAGAAATACCAAAACGAATATGCCTCGACAAACTCTTGCAGACCAGGCGAATAAGCTCTTACGAATTGATAACAATCCTCATATAAGAGCTCTGCGGCTATCTTTTTAAACAATTCTTTAATTGCAACAAACTTTCCTGCTGCTTCTTCTAATATTTTCGCTCGTGATTTCTCGTCCAAGCCGCGGTGTAGTAGAAATATAACCCGTTTACTTTGTGTGGTTATGTCTCTACTGCATTTCACTATCCGTTCATATTTATCATGACGGCTGTCTAGCTCCGTTTGGAAACCTTGAAATAGTTGAAGAATAGGTGAAGCATCTTTAAGAGGCTTTTTGGCAGACGTTTCGTCTGACATTGCTGAACTATCTTCGTTTTTCCTTCGTCTTTTTCGACCAAAAGTTGCAGTTTCCATGATTGCGCTAGACTGTTTTATACTGATACGATATACCGCTGATCTAAGTCTGTCTTATATTTATATTACACAATTATGCTCGTGGGCTCAGATTATACTTCACATCAAAACATAAAATGTTCGAAGTTTTATTGCTAAATTGAGAGACAAAACCCTAAAAATGAGCAGTTTTGCACTAGTATCTATAGAAAAAGATTACAAAATTGATGTATCTGAAGGGAAAGTTACTGTTGGACGAGGACCTTTCTTGAAGGCGAGTTTTTTACAACAAGTATACCCTTGCCATTTTTTGCTTGTTCACATTTTGCAGGCAAACTCCGATACAAAATCGTGATTCCACAATGCTGTCACAATAATGAATCTAACTTCCGAGCTTTTAGTGATTTTTGCATGCCTGAAAAATGTAAACAAGGCAAGGCTCTACTGTGGTACATTTTTCATCAGTTTGTTGTTTATATGTTGTTGTTTACTTTAAGATTTGTTTGTTTAGATAAAAGATAAACGTGTTTCAAGAAACCACGCAACTCTTGAAGTGTGCGATGGCTCACTCACTGTCCTTCCTGTAAGTTTGTTGAAATCTGCAGCAAATAATCACAACTTTAAATTCTAATTAGTCACTTAGCAACCATAATTAATTAGAATGTTTTCCAAAGTCAGTATGAACTGATAGCAACTTCACCCCCAAGGTTTTTGCTTAGTGCTTCTCCAATGGGATACCCACAAAAAAGCCTTGGGTTCCACTATCACATCATTTAAATAAAGTTGCAAGACCCAGAGAGGGGGACGTGTATAACATTGTTATAGAACCCCAAATTTAATAACTAAAATCATAAATTGTTGAAATCCAAATTTTTTTTATTTTTCACTTTCTGAATATTTACAGTCGGCGGATCCATAAACCAATATAATGAATAAAAAAAGTCTCGCCTTAAAAGTTCCATAAATTGTGAAAGTGGGTGCTAGTGATTGTAAGAGGTGCTCACTCCCCTGAAACCCAAACCTAGATCACCCAAAAGGCAAAAGCTAGTGCAGCCCATCTGTTGTAACACAATTAATGTACTCTCCCTCCCAAAATACATAATATGTTCAATATTCATCATTTGTCAGCCAGCAGAAAATCATACATAAGAGACTTGACATATCTTTTCTAGATTCACACCAATCCTACTTTTTACCGAGCATGTGGAGAAAGCAAATTTGAGCCATTAGAAAAAGATGAATTGAAGAAACTTGAGAATGGTGACTGTATTTCATTCTTGCCAAATGATCTCACATTTAGAGTAGAAAGGAAGAGTACTGAAGATACAACTGCCGAGGAAGCCCTTGAGCATGAGGCTGCCCTTGAGCATGAAGCTGCAGAGGTTTCTGGTCCAAAGGATGGTAATGTACAATGTAGTAGTGAAGTTTTGGAAGATAATAATGGTAAAGATAAGGTTTCAAATGTAGAAGATACCAATGTAGAAATTAATAAAGAAAGTGAAGGCTTGGCTGTTTTGACAAGAAACACTGAGTTGGATGACGAGGAAGAAGATTATGTGGATGACGAGGAGGAAGAAGATGATCATAAAGTTGACAGAACAGAGATTGAAGAGACAGCTCAGCCTCTGAACAAGACAAGAGTTTTGCCAAGTTGGATGACAAAAAACAAAGGCTAGTTCATTAGTTTTGCAAAGAGAATTAAAGCCATCACTGCAACAAACTTTCATTTCTGTCTGTAATTTCTTCATATTTCAATCTGTTTCTAACATAGACTTATTGTTATATAATTGAATGCTCTATACAGGGAATGAAGCTAAGGACAGTTCCAAGAAAGGTTAGTAATATAATAATAATATAATAATAGTAATATAATAATAGTAATAATAGTAATATAATAATAGTAATAATAGTAATAATAGTAACATAATAATATAATAATAGTAATATATTAATAGTAATATAATAATATATAGACGAATTATTTTTGAAAGAGCTTTCTTTTGTTTTAATTCTCTGTGTAATTGTTTTTTTAATTCGCTAATTTCTCCATTGAGTATTGTATTATACATATTATTACACTCTGATGCCCAAATTATTCTTTCATTTCGTAACTGGTTCCAGTGAATGACTTAGTTTATTAATCTTCAGGCAAAACTACTAAAAAGAACGTGAAGAAAGTTGTGAGTGAAGTAGTAGTCAAGAATGATTTAGTTGAGTCGCCTGGCAAAACAAAAGAAAGTTTGAAAGAAAATGAAAACAAAACAAGTGGTGGAAATGATATCGAGTCAGATCAAGAAAATACTGAGCAAGAAGATGCTTCAGTTAAAACAGAAGAACGCGCAGTCGTTGAGGTAGGAAGATGTTGGTAAAAAGAAGCAGCTCATATTTCTACACATTGTTTACGAAATAAATAACTCCGACTTTAGGAAGAAGATAAAAAGAGAAAACGAGATGAAAGTGAAGATGAGGGACAGTCGAGTAAAAGAGAAAAGAAATTACCACGTTGTCCGTATGGTAGCCGTTGCTACAGGTACGTTGAAGTTCTGCTTGTAGTTCTCTTGTATCTCTCGCGATCCCCAGTCATGTGTCATACAATTCATTCATTCTTTTTATTCACCACAATAGTAAATAGATAAATATTAGGTACAAAATATATACAAGTGGCGAGGAAGCATCCAGAAACCTAAAGGCTTATAGATTATATTGAATGGTCAGCATCATTTGAAGGAAAGAAACCGTAAACAATTCTAGTCAGATATATGATTTATTTATTTAGATATTTTTTTATTTACAAGATTCGCCACACGTAACAAAACAATTATACACTTGTACGACCAGACCCAAAAAACATATAATACGTATTGGCAGATAGTCTTCAATAACGGGGTCCGTACAGTTCATGTTTTTAGTGGCATGAAGTCTAAGCATGGAAGACCAACATACTGTACAGTATTAGGACGATAAATATCAAACATGGAGAAGTGTTATATAAGTATGGTAGAAAAGCTCAATTTCTTTTCTAGAAAGAATTCCATTCATTTCCAAGAATACTCTCACGAGGAGGAAAGCGACACAAGAGTGTCCTTATGGTGAATATTGTTATAGAAAGAACCCACGACATCGCAGAGAGTACAAACACACACCACGTGAGTCACTCGTTGTAGATTGTAACATTTTGAGACCGTCACTAATGTGAATTTATCGATATAAATTTTTTTTATTTATTGTTCTAATAGAACCGAAAACCCGAGAAAGAAAGGCAAAAAAGAAAGCTGGTGGGTATTTAGTAGCGGGATTGCCGTGATCTATGCTAAAGACGGGTGATCCACGCGTCTGGATGAACTTGCGCAGAACTGTGTAGTTCATCTTCCTATATTTGCGTAGTTTGTCTGCGCAGACGAACTTGCTTGCGAAATTCGTCTTGAATATTGATGGATACGTCTGAAACTGAATCAGTTTCTTAAACCTGCCTTAACTTTTCCTAGGCACCGGAAAAATCCGAGATGATGACGAAGATGGTCCGAATGATTACGACTTCGAAGATAGTTTTATTGATGATGAAAGTGAGAGTAACCATGAAGCATCAGATGAAAGCGACTGGCGACCATCCGGTGATGATAATGATGACGATGAAGATGGCGATGATGATGATGTTGGTGAATTACTGACTGAGGCAAGAAATTTCACTAAGAATAAGAAAATGTTGAAGCCAACGTAAGAATCATCTGAGGTTTGTTGTATAGAGAAGCCCCATTATAGTTCTATGTTATTCGCTTATTCAATGCTTGATATTCTACACCTACAGTAAATTCTGCTCCCGAGGAAAATACTTCTGTTTTCCCGAGAGTGTTAATGTTTCCCGAGACAAAGTCGAGTGTTTTGTCACATAGCGACTAAATAAAAAACAACATTCATACAACAATTGTATTTCATGACAAAAACTCCATAATGTAAACGAGTTTAAAATTTAAAAGAACTAAGTTTTCATTTGTCGGCCCGGCGGGATACATTGCATTTATCTAAAACCACGTGACCACAAATTAGCCAATCACGTTTGGTGTTAGCTAAATAACAAATCAGGTTATGACATGTAATGCTAGAGTGTTGATATAATCATCTCTGCAATCCTTGAAGTGGCAAAAACGCATACAAAAGACAAGATAGACTGTTTCATATCAGTGACTATGATTTTCTCACGCCGCCATTTTTGGGTGGCATTTCAGCCGACGTCTGAGAGATAAGTCCACATAACAGCGACTTGTTATAATTTTTTGGACAAATGATGGTAAATTTGCTTTGTAAATGGTCAGTTTTATTTTGAAAAATTGCTTTTCACATTGTTTTAATTGTCTGCGTTGGTTAACGAGAATTGGATGCCACCCAAACATGGTGGATATTCGTCATCGTGAGAAAGCTAATTGGTTACGATTAAATGAAAACTGGGTTATTTGCGATATGGGAGCTGACCAAAACTATTTGACGCAGGAATTTCTGGATCTAGGCTGGAACTTAAGCCTAAGGGTAACTCAGTGAACTGAAACTCCATTCTAGGATGAACTACGGAGTTTTTAAGAACCTGTCTTAGTAATTTATAGTATAAAGAACCAGGTAGAGTAATGTAAAATTTTAGAAATATATTATAAAACTTTATTTAGTTTGTAAAATGTAAATATGTCGATTTAGAATCATGGCTTGAGTTTTAGTTTAAATAAGTTTTTTTTAAATGATCAGATCTGTATATTAGACGCATTAACATATCATGCACATTGTAGTTATTAGATGGCCTAAGATGGAATAAATTTATGTCGAGGACATAAAGCTTAAAAGTGTGTCTCACAAAGTTTCCAACTTGACAACTTTGTAATATATACGATTGAAGGAATGTTAAAGAATCTTTGTAGAAAAAGGGATGGATAAAATTATTGGTCAAACAACCAACGTCATTTATTTAAACTTGAATTTAGATTTCTCCATACAGTAATATAAAACTACTTCTATTTTTCCAAAATACAAGTTAATTCCCTAAATAAGGCTAAAAGTATCTTATTTATACCGTTGATACCAGTGTTTTTAGACTGAAGGAATTACCGTGTATAAATAAAATTGTATCTATCTATTTATTTGTTTTAAAACTAATGCTATTCTTAAAAGATGAAAATGAATGCCCTCTTGCCATAGTCACTGTTGTTATGCAGGAGTTCAACAGATTTCTTTGATTGCTGACAGGATTCTGCAAATATAAGCGAAAAATTAATGCGTGCTATAAGTTTCGATTCCAAGAATTGTTTCATCCTCGTACCCAGTCTCTTTCCTCTGCACTCCTACCTCGTTAGAACTCGCTAGAGGAAAGAGCCTGGGTACGAGGTTGGAACGGAATTGCTTCAAAAAGGTCTACAATATAATAGGCCAAGTTAAAAACTGGTTTACACTGTCAAAGTTTCTGTGATCACAGTATAGGAATTTTGCGTAAGTAAATTCTAAGTTTTTAAGGATTTGTAAGAAATGTTTAAGGAAACTGACTCATTGATTAAACCTTCACATGTTTCATAACTTACTGAGGCAGCGGGATTTTTTCTTCGCACATATTTGCCAAAACATAGATATGACGTAAAGCGGCATCACTCTAAAATTTAATACACAGGAGTTTAATACTCGTGTTTCGGCATGAGGCGTGAGCTGGTGGCTTACAGCAAGGGTAACGGTGGTCAAACAGAATGAGTGTTGATGAGAGTTGAGAAGCGAGAGTTTAACATCAGAGTTTTCTTAACTCTCATGTCCCAGTCAAACGAGAACAAGAGTTGACTAGATGTAACCGCGCGCGTAGCTAAACTCTCGTCATCAAAATTTAAACCAACTTAAAGTTGATGAGAGTTTGCGGTGAAACGCGAGCGAGATGTGGAACTCTCATCTACTTCCATCCATGTTTAACCAAGCCTTCGCGGTCGTGGCTTTTTAGTACTAGATAAAACATGAGCAGCCGAATGTTTTATCGTACTTAAAAAATGACCCATCTTATGAGTTCATTGGCGAAGTAATTTTAAAAATAAACATTGTCTAAATGAAAATCAAAGAAAATCAAAGAAAATCAAAGCTGAAGTTTATGTAAATCAGGACAAATCTTTATCCGATTTACAAACGTTGATTAAACATTCATTTCTTTTGTATTTTCCTCGTGAATTATTAATGAATTTTTTAACTATGAATAAATGTTACCATATATAGATATATGAAACTGTTAACGAACCTTTCCCAAAGCAAAACATTTCTCCGAGAAGGCATCGACTACCTCGGCATGACAATCAAGCTGGGTTACTTTACCAGATGTATCTTCTAAAACTCTAAATTTCTGTCCTTCGTCATGAGTTGCTATTTCTGCAATTCTTTCTACAGTTTCACGAACTCTTTGGCGTTCCTGTAAAAATTTAAACATCGGTTTGCGAATTAGGAAACATTGTTTCCTAGCCATGTTTCCTGAAGGTGGACAAACCAGGACACATGGTTTCCTAGCTATGTTTCTCAAAGGTGGCCAGACCAGGAAACATTGTTTCCTAGTCATGTTTCCAGAAGGTGGACAAACCAGGACACATTATTTCTCCAACAAAAATGACATTTGGTAAACAAAGTTCGACTACTTACGCGAAGAAGACTCATCATTTTCCTTTCAATTTTCACTTTTTCCTTCTGTGAAGTAGTTTTCTGTAGACGTCGTTCAAGAATGGCCATAGGTACTTCAGGCGCTGGAATGGCATCATTCTATAAAATGAACATGTATCGAAATTGTAAAACAAATGTCTAAAAGTTAGCGAAGAAAAGAATGAAGACCTACTGTAGGATATTCTCTTGTATCCTTGGCAGGCAACCAGGATCCACGACCTTCTCCTTGATAATCGATCACTGGGTCACTTGAGATGTCCTACATGGATAAACGATTGTAATGAAGCATTTTTATGCTTGAATGATAATATTTCATTATTGCACATGATCTACACAGCAGACTTGTCAACTTCAGTTCTATTTAAAACACGAGTGTTTTATTGAGAACACGAGGCGACAGGCAAGTGTCGTATATCTGGTAAAGACTGCGAGTGTTTCAAATCGCTTAAAAATGACCCATCTTATGAGTTCATTGGCGAAAAAAAATCAACTTTGTCTAAAGTTTATGTAGATTAACATGTCTTTTCCTCATGAATTATTAATGAGTTTTTAAGCTTTCATAATATTTCATATGTACTGGCACATATGATCTACAGCACACTGGTTATTAACGTTTTATAAGAGCATGCGTTCAACATCTGGCGCACCTTTTCTCCATATTCCTGGACGTGGCTCAAGTTTGTCCTCTTTTTAACTTTTAGAAATTGTTGTTGAAGCGTCTCTTTGGTCAGGTTTGACTGGAATTGTAAAATGACCAATATTACATTAACTATATTTTTTCATTTATATTTTCATATACAGGTGTAGTCTAACCTTGTCTGAGTTTTCCATCCAGGCAATACTATAGAGATCACCAAGGTATGTTTCTCTCTTTTCATCCCAGTACGTGGCGTAAGATGATTCATGTGGGTTTGCAGCAGTCGTGGCAAAGACTGGAAAAAGAGGAAATTATGTTGAGACAGGAAAATATAGATAGCTTGATTTATACTAGACACGGATGATGCTCTCTCTATGTACAAACGTACATATGTAAATACGATATTTTCCGATCCGAGTTCACGTTATCGATTTTTCATCTTGCTATTTGGCGGAAATGGAACTCAGAATTTCATGATGTTTGGACATTGCAGCGGAAATTGCGGTCAAATGTATAGGGAAAACAAAATGTTCAAAACGACGTAAAGACCGTTTTCCACTAGGAGGAAATTTTCCGCGCGCAGCGGAAATTGTCCTTGTCTTGTGATTTCTCGGGTGGAACTAATTAGAAAAGAAGACAAAGAAAAATTCCGCTCCGCGCGGAAAACTCCGCCTAGTGGAAAACGGCCTTAACTCGTGCCCTGAATGTCCAAACATGAAATTTTCGCTTTAAACTAATATGAGCATGACGATTTCGATGCTGAGGTCCGTTTTTGCCAAAGATCTGTAGATAGTGAGGTGAAAATTGATGACGTCAGGAAGACAAGCACGATTTGTTCGGACCGGAATTATTGCCAATCGTTCGAACTTTGAACATAATCATTAAATCATACTAACTCTTGATATCATCAGGCAGTCCGCCGTTAGAGAACATTGACCCTGATTCGCAAGCTTCAATGTATATTACCATCTAAAGAAACGTTTATAATTTTAAAATGACCAGTAACTGATGACCCATAATTCGTAACAACGACCCATAATTTGCAACAATAAAACATAATTAGCCACATGGAGCCTCAATTATTAACCACAATGACCCATAATTAGCAGGAATCCAAAAAAGGAACTCAATTTCTACTGTACCTTTTTGTATTTCTTTTTTTCATGCATGAATTTTAAGGCATCCAAAAGTTGCTTTTTCTTCAACTAACGCAAAAAGTGTTGGTTGTCAGATGTAATTTCTTGGAATTAAACACAAATTAAGAACACAGAAATTGAGAAATGTTACGTTTAATGAAGATACTCACTGTTGGAGCAACATCAGGAAAAGCTATCAATCCAGGCGCTCCGTGGTCAGCAAAATATATAAACACATCGTCATCTGGGCCACTACATGACAGAGAACGAAATTACCACAGTGTATATGCACATGAAGCTCGTGCATCACACAATGGAACTCCAAAAATGTTGACGCTTCTAGGAGCAAGCACTAAACCCCGGATGAAACGAGAATGAGATCATGACAGTGCACGAGGCAGTCACGCGACCTTGGTTAGGTATTAGCTTTCCCAACACTATCATGTATTTTATTACTACAATACTACATACAATAATACGAAATCAATTGACATCATAGTCTTACTCTGATAACTGCAGGTTGACCAGCATCTGCTGCACGACAATACTATATTCGGGTGTCAGATATTCTCCTTACCTTTCAAGGACCTTTCCACTGCCAGTTCCTCTCAAAGCGTCTTTGTCTCCTTTCAGTACGTTCAAAAAGTTCTTTGGAGTAACTGCCTGGAAAGGTCAAGGTGAGCATTTATTACTGACACGTGAAAACACACAAGTTGTAACAAACCTGCAGCAGACTTGTAGAAATGCTGTTCCAACAACTTGTCAACAGCATGCGTTCGTACTGCTTGTTGACAACTTGCTACAAGGTTGTTGAGTCCAACAGAATTGTTACAAGTTTTTCCAGCAACTTGTTATCGTCCTGCGCAATCCAACAATTTATCAACAATAATATTTGTGGTGTTACTCTGAGTGTATATCCACACCGGGCGAGCTTGATAAATATGCCCGGCCACGGTGGGATTCGAACCTACGACCTTTGGAATAACTCAGAGTAACACCACAAATATTATATTCACCTGAGTACACTACACCAACACAGAAAAAAATTAATTTATCAACAAGTTGTGAGTGACAACCTTGTAGCAACTTGATAAAATAACAGAATTGTTACAACTTGTTGACAAGCTTGCTACAAGCCTGTTGCGAACACATCTTGTTGACAAGTTGTGAGATTTTTACGTGTGTAGATGGTTCAAAAATGAACCATTTCTGAATAAAGTCCCACATACCGCTCCAGTGTAATCCTTGAGAACCCCGTGGTAAACATCGGGTCCATTAGGCTAGAAAAAACAACACTTCATGTATTAAAGTGGAAAAAAGGGGTTTATTTCTCGTCGGGTACAGGCCCCATGCCCATGTAGCAGTTTTAGGAAAGGAGGAAAATTTCTATGCATCGTGGGACCACAGAATAGTATAATAAAATGTGGGGCATTGTGGGTTAATAAATTAAATACTTACCTTATTAATGATTTTACCAGGTGTTGGATTATCTTCATTGTGAGCAAGATCATCATACATCATTACGACGATATTCTCATCAGGGATGCCATTTCTGTGGAGTATTTGGTACGAATGACAGATGTCGGCCTAGAGGGAATATACAGAACCAGGTACGTAAATTTTGGGTATTACAGCAAAGAGGACAGACAGATCTCTTCAATTATACAGTAGTGACAGCAGAGCGCTGCAGACTGACAGGGATTCAACTACTTGAAATATACAATTAGCCATTCCGAAGTTGATGAGTGAGCTGGGGACGAGTGTTAAAAAGTGCCCAAATTAAGAAATCACAAAAATGCCCAAATCACTATAAAGACCACCCCGAAATTAGTAAGTATGCAAAGTTTGAAGACGTTTACATGAATACCCTTCGAATAATAAGCTTTCGAAAATTGTGAAATTACTGAATAAAAGATTGTTTTTGGGACGCGCGTCCCCAAAAACAAAAATTACAGTACATTTCATAGTAAATATCGCGATTTTCGAAAGCTTATTATTCGAAGGGTATTCATATAAACGTCTTCAAACTTTGCATACTTACTAATTTTGAGGTGGTCTTTTTAGTGATTTGGTTTATTTCTTAATTTGGGCACTTTTTAACACTCGTCCCTAGTCCACTCATCAACTTCGGAATGGTTAATT